AATTAGCCAGATATGGTGGCATGCACCTGTAGTTCCACGGTTACTAGAGAGATTGAGGTGGGAGGATCTGTTGAGCTCGCAATGTCGAGGTTGCAGTGAGCTGTGATCAGCCACTGTACTCCGGCCTGGGTGACAGAGTGAGACTGTCTAAAAAAAAAAAAAAAAAAGAAAGATGTGGGTAGAGAGTAGTTGTGATTATTTTGGATATGTATTTCAGAACACTTGTAAATCTGGTGAAGGAGATTTTATTTTTAAATGGTTGAAGATTAGCTAAAGGAGAAATTGGCAATATCTTTGGTTTGGAAATTAGAAGACCTGGGTTCTGGCAGAAATCAGTTTGCTGCTCCCAGGCAATTTACTTAATTTCTCTGGACACCAATGTCCCCTGTTACAAATGTGGGCTTTGGAATTGGTGATAGTACAGATGCTTTAGGTCCAGTGTCCTGTGATGATTGTTGGGAAGGTAGAGCTTTGCCATTTGAGTCAGAGAGCAGCAAGGGAGCAAGGCTGATAGGTTTGAGTTAGGAATTAAAGAACAACAGGAGATGACAGAAGGCATTTCTTTTCATAATCGAGGGAACAATATGGGGAGTGGGAGGAAATATGAGAACTGAAGAACAGAAAAGGAGAGCAGTGCCAGGAACTTTAATCTGACTTGTATTTTTTGAGCAATGCCAGGATTTCATAGCAGTCTCCACTGATGCTTCTGGACATGCCTCTTTTAAGGAATATCTCTCAGGGAGTGTGTACTATAAACCCAAGTTCTGGGGGAACCCTAGGCCTTTGCAGTTCATTGGAGATAAAGACAATATGGATGTTTTGGTGTCTGTGTTAGGATGAAAATGAGAGTATGGTATGATGGCTTTTGCTCTCAGGTTTAAAAGGAAGTTCAAATCTGTGACTTGTGGCTGGGTGCAGTGGCTCACGCCTGTAATTCCACCACTTTGGGAGGCCAAGGCAGGCAGATCACCTGAGGTCAGGAGTTCGAGACCAGTCTGGCCAACATGGTGAAACTCTGTCTCTATGAAAAATACAAAAAATTAGCCAGGCATGGTGGTGGGCACCTGTGATCCCAGCTATTTGGGAGCCTGAGGCAGGAGAATTGCTTGAACCAGGGAGGTGGAGGTTGCAGTGAGCCAAGATTGCGCCAGTGCACTCCAGCCTGGGCAATAGAGCAAGACTCCATCTCAGAAAATATACATATATCTGGCTTGTGTTCATAGCCAATAGGAACTATGGAATTTTGTTCAAAGGCCAGGCAGCAGAATGTAAGGCATGGCTTTGGCTAGAGGCCTGGATATTAGTCATGCTGGCAGATACAGTGAAACCACTTTGAAAACATGTGCTCATGCTGCCTTGTGCCAGTCCTTCAATAGGATTTCCAAAAATCTTCATCATGACAATTTGGGATTGGACACAGAGATGTAGAAAGATCATCATTTAGCAGTGAAGTACTCCTTGGTACTCTTTGACAAACAGTATCCTCTGTTGTTCAGTCTTATTAATATCACTTTGATTAACCTTTAAAAAAAAGTGTCATCGAGATGAATAACGAGGGAGATTGAAGGGTTACTCAGGCAGAGATTCACAAGGTGCAATATCCTGGGGAGGGCATTAGCTTCTAAGATCTGGGACTTTAGCTTTGGAAGTCCAGCAGCATCATCTCTCAGTGTGTACACTGGCAGTCTAGTTCATGACAACTGATTCTAACAGACCAAATTTACAAGATTCTGATGTATAAATGAACATGGTAATTTATAATGATGCATGAATGGATTCAAAACTTCTGATAGCAATTTCTGCCAAAAAGAAAACTAACCTAAAAAGGGCATTACTATCAGAGTTTGCACAGAGCTTGGGGAATTATTTGAGTGACCTTTTTGGCAAGTATCATTAAGTTGTAATTTTTATTAGTTCACAGATAAAACTACCAAAAGTAGTGAAAAACCAAGTTGGTTGACCAGGGAGTCCTCTGTGAAAACCTTTCTCCCTGCCTTATTTCCATGTTAATTATCTTCTTAAGTAAACTCTGTCTTCTTTGTCATTGTATTTCCAGTTTCTAACAAAGTGCTTATGAGATATTTGCAGAATGATTGAATGGTAGATGAACAAATATATTGACTTGAATTTTTTTTTTTTTTTTGGAAATTGAGTAACAATCAGTTTTGTTTTAGCTTTCACATCGCTTTTTCTTTTACCTCTTCCAATTGAAATGGAATGTTTCCAGGTCTCTGGGCCACAAGTTAGGCTACTTTGTAATCTTGCTCATTAAGTGTTCATTTTTTCTGGTTTCATTCTCCTCTTTCCCTTCAAGATATTTTTTCCACAAGAATTCATCTGTGCCCATGGCTTTGAACATGTTTAAAATGCTGATGATCCCTACTTGTAAATGTAGTATGTCTTGAGCTCTTATGGGCATCTTAAACAGAGCAAGACCAAACTGAACTCATCATCTTGCCCCAAACCAGCTCTTCTCTAGACCTTTCCTTCCTTGTAATGTCTCAAGTGCTCATGTTGGAACCCTAGGAGTAGCCCTGGACCCTTCTCGTGTCTACCACTTTTCATCTAATCAATACTGCTATGTCAGGGGTCAAAAGTGGTCACATTTCCTAAACAGTAGTTTTGTTTCACCACGGCAATGCCTGCCAGCTTTTTATATTTATTGCTAACCTCCAAATGTACTGAAAAGTTAATGTATATGATGTAATGGGAGCAATCAAAGATCAGCAAGACCAGGCCCCTTCCCTCAAGTAATCTGTAAGGAGAAAGAGGTTTGTCATAAAAAGGTTGAAAACAAGTTAATGTGTGGTAAGTAATTAAAGGCATTGTGAAATTCTGGAGGTTGATTTTGGCTGTGTATGAGGCTTCATGGAGATGACTATGTTTGAACTGAACCTTGAGGGATGATTTTGACTAACATAGTTGGCTGTCTCCTTATATGCTACCAGTCTATAAAAAGAGGTACCTAAGATAGGAGTGTCTCCACTTCTTCGTGTTTCAGTTTCATGATAGCCTCATAGTAAAGAAATATATTTCACTGGATGACTTCGAAAATTTTTAGCTGACATATAATTCTGTAATATGATTTTAGGATTTCAAAAACTCTCAGGACCCAGAAATGAGTCAGCTAATCCTCTTAATATACAGTCATGTATCACTTAACCATGGGGATAAGTACTGAGAAATGCATGGTTAGGTAGTTTTGTTACGCAAACATCATAGAGTATACTTACACCGGATGATATAGCCTACTACACACCTAGGCTATAGGGTATAGCCTGTTGCTCCTAGTTTACAAACCTGCGCAGCATATTACCGTACTAAATACTGTAGGCAGTTGTAACACAATGGTAAGTATTTGTGTATCTGAATCTATCTAAACATAGAAAAAATAGGATAAAAATGTGGTTTTGTAATACTATATAACCACCAACATATATGTGGTTTATCATTGACTGAAGTGTTATGTGGTGCATGACAGTACACTTTTTATTAAGGAAAAATAATAATTCAGTTGCTATGATGTTTTTATTAAATTTCAAGCAATTCGTTGGACAACAAAGTTTAGCTCGTTAAATATTGGTAAATAAATCTTAGAAGAGTCTTTAGTTCCATGTATTTAGAAAATTTGGTTATTAAAGGTGAGATTGGCTTGGGAACAGCTGCCTTTTGTTTAAAAAATATTAACAATAATGATAATAAAAATAATCACCATGTTCATATGTCAAGAATAGTGTTATAATATATACTTTCCATTAGCTACCCTGTTCAGGCTTCATAATAACCCTTATGATTATTAAGGCAGATATTACAATTCTTATTTTATGTGAGGAAATTAAGTTTCAGAGATATTGTAATCCAGGTCTTTTGACCCTAAAGCTTATGCTGTTAACCGCTAATATGCTCCATTTGGTTTTCCATGATTTGTGTTAATGAAATATGTTTGTCAAATTTTGCTTTTTTAAAAAACAATTCTGTCAATGAACTTGATTAGCTCAAAAACATCATTTCTCCTTTCACCTTCCTTACTTTTCAGGCTAACAAAATTATCAGAAATTTATATATTTCTTGTACAGCATTTCCTTGCTCTCAGAAATAACTGGCTCATATTAATGATCTATATTCACTTGAAGGAATAACCATTTATTTCATCTCAATTATCTTTAAATATTTGCTGTCAGATTTGAAACACAGCTATAATGGTAATTTCACAAAGTTCCATTAGTCATTCTTCATTCCATTCAGTTTTTGTTTCTACTATTGTAAAAAATCATCTATCATTTAACCTACCGAAATAGCTACAGATTTTTTTGGCATTGCAGAAAAATATGTGACTGTTAGGAACGAAATCAGAAAGTATGAGAAATGACAATTTTCTAAAGTTTTGATTTTGAAGTTGAAATTGGACCATGAAAAGAAATCCATTGAGTCAGATTAATGACCTATTCAGGTTTGTTTCCTAAAAATGTTAATTGTTGACTGCTTCATGGTTGGACTCTGGAGACCCTCTTACCATGTTATGTCACAGGAAAGAAATTCATCTCTTTGAAGATTAATGATGAATTCATTTTCCCCTCATCCCTTTGTCCAAATGAAGACTGGCATTTGACTTCTCACTAAAGGAGTCTCACTTAGTAGGTAATGATAGTTGATTATTTACATACTTGCCAATAATATATTTTAAGTTTTACAAAGTCACCTGACTTCATATTATTCCAGAAATGTCCTTCCTGCAGGATAATTAATAGATTACATAGGCCAGGCATGGCAGCTCAAACCTGTAATCCCAGCACTTTGGGAGGCCGAGGCGGATCACAAGGTCAGAAGTTTGAGAGCAGCTAGGCCAACATAGTAAAACCCCATCCTTAATAAAAGTACAAAACTATTAGCTGTGCGTGGTGGCAGGCACCTAGCTACTCGGGAGACTGAGGCAAGAGAATTGCTTGAACCAGAGAGACGGAGGTGGCAGTGAGCCGAGATCACGCCATTGCACTCCAGCCTGGGTGACAGCAAGACTCCATCTCAAAAAAAAAAAAAAAATAGATTGCATAAAAATATTTCAATCTGTTCATTTGTAACCTCTTTCTTAGTCTTATTGTTTCTTTACTGTGGAAAGAACAGGGATATACAATTAGATTTTTGATAAATGTTTTTTAGAATAACTATCATCCTTTTTTGCTTACCTGTTTTCTCAGTCATTTATATAATTTTTGTGTGGGAACTTCCTGGGCTTTCTAAGAACTTTCTACTTTTATGTATTTTTATTTATTTGTTTTAGATTGACTTGACCAAACCGGAGCTAGCATTCATGATCTTACTGTGCTTTTCGGTTGTAATAACCCTGTAACACTTTGTTTTCCACTGTTTTTCATGCTACCTGGTATGTGTGTGTGTGTCTGTCTCTCTGTCTGCAGGTATGTATATTTTGCATTCACCTATACTTCATATCCCCAGGTCATTTTTGCTTTAGAAATTAGAACATAATTCAAGGCCCAAGAGTACAGAAAATATAATTTCTGTGATTCTTTCCTTGACCTTCAGTGTTGCGTTTTGCCGCTTATTCCATATAATTCAGGTATTTGGACTTTCAAGATCTTGTTCCAGATGAGAATTATGATCTTTCCTTTTTCCAGACAGAAATTGGCCATTCCCCTTACCCTTCTTACTCACTGCCATGTTTATTTCCCACAAATTAAATCCCATAGTTATGAAGTCTCCAGAAAGATGTTAATTTTTTTTCAAAAATGTTAGCATTGAAGGGCCTCTTTACTCTCTTCCCTCTTCTTGAAATTAACTATATATTTTAAGCAGCAATTTTCTGTGGCATGCAGAATTGTGGAATTGCACAGACTTTATAAAGAGGATTCACTTAAGAACGGAAGTGGCTGGCTTTTTTTGGTGGGTGTTCTGGAAGATGTTTTTGCGGGCTTGCTTTCCTTTAATGTGCCACTGTTAGCAATTTCAAAGCTGGAAGATGCTCATAAACAGCTTTTCATATTAATTTAGGAGAAAAACCTTTCTCTGTTCATGATTGTATTGTTTTCCACTAGAATCTGAAAATGAATGATTGTTATTTTTCATTTAGTATCCATAATCCAATTTAAATTTTACACAAGGACTTCATTTTACAAATGAGAGGACTGAATCTCCAGAAGATCCATTGACTGGCTTAGATTGATACAGTCCATGAAATAACAGAGCTGGAGTTTTGGCTGTAAATCCTATTCATATTCAGAGTTTTGGCTGTAAATCCAATTGATACCCAGTGTTTTGACTGTAAATTAAATGTTCTCACCACTAGAATGAAGCTACATTTTGGAAGTTGCCCCCTTAAACTTTATCAAAAAACATATGGTTAGTGCCTACATATAATTTCTGGCATTGCATAATGTAGTTTAAAATAACAGAGTAGGAGCTTATAGGTTGACATGAAGGTTTTTGTTAGCTGGAAGAAAGCAGATTCTACCTACTTTTCGCTATTTCCTGATCATTCTCTTAGGTAACCAAGGCAAACAAGTTAAAATCATTTAAAAAGGGATGTTAAAATGTTCCGTGCCTACAGAAATTATATTATTGTTTGTCCTCTAAATATATAATTTACATCATCAAGTCAATGTGGGTTGCCATTTTTTGAGCATTTGATATGTCTAAAGGTTTCTCCTTTTGTTCCTTCAACTCCACTGACTCCCTTCTTCATTATGAATGTGATTTTGGAGAATAAATTTGGAACTTCATTGTTCTCTTTTCCTCCATTAAAGTCTTTTTAAAAATATTTTATTTGTTGTTTTATTCTGAGATCACAGTTACCAGATTCATAGCAAACATCTAGGATAACTTTATTTCTCTTAGCTTCTCGCTTCATTGCTGAAGACAAAATATTATGAAAACAACAGCAATAAAACATAAAGGTAGAGTTTTCTGCTAAGTCCTGTTTTGATTTAATCAAGATTTCTCTTTTAGTTGTTTTCTTCTTTGTGCATTGGTTAGAGATGATATTTTGGGTGTTATAAACCCTTATGTTTAAAGCTGCTGCTTTAGGTGGAGTTGGAATGTATCTATCAGCACAGTGTGTGTCTTTGGTGCATCTTGGCTGTTTCAGAACCAATTTTTTTCAAAAACAACTCCATTCCATGAGACTGGTGGAAATGTGGTGTCCAGAAAGGCTTGTGGGATGTGGCCAGAGTCTTTGAGAAGGGCTCTCTAGTTAGTGAAGATATACCAGTGGGTAGTGGGAAAAATTATCACTTAGTAGTATGTTCCATTCTTTGAGGAGGAAAAAAAAAAATCCCTCTAAATTTTATAACTGGGTTTTGTTTGCTGATCAGATAGACTATTTCAAAATTAAACTATTTGGCTTAAACAAAAGCAGGTTTTTGTTCAGATGCATTTGTTTGGGGTAGGAAAAATTGTGTATGATGCAGATCTAGATATGCTTTTTCTCCTAAATGAGTAAAATCAGACTTCTGTTGTCAGTTCTGAAATAGGACTGAAACGTGTCTATAGAGCTGATGTGACAAACAGAAGCCAAAATTTATGGACATAAGGAACGGTAGTGAACAGGAAATGCAACACTTATCTCTGATCAGTAACTCTAGTTATAGTGTGATGATTATTTTCAACTTGGATTTATATAAAATGGGGAGATGGTAAAGTTTTTTCTGTCATAGTATGTTTTTCTCATAGGGATTATGGTCATAGGTGGCTATCAGTAGGATCTATTTGCTTTTATTTTTTTAAAAGTTGAGATTTATATCATTGCTTCATTTTCATTCAACATCACTATATAGTGACATATGTGCTTTAGTCCTTCCAAATCCTTCAAATGAATTTTCTACTTTCAATGCTGCCAGCAAGTTTTATAAATTTTATTTAAATTACTGATTCGATGTGAATGGTAGCTCCTGAATGACACACATTTCAATAGGTAAGATTTGGGGTTAACAAGATAACGTTTATATTATATAGATGATTAACAATTTCTTTTAGATATTTTAGTATATAAAAACCTTATAGAAAAATTTTAAATGCAGAAAAACATAATGAAGAAAATAAAAAACTCCTACATTTCCTCTACTTAAAAATAACTACTAATCGTATAGTACTATATATTTTTCTATACATTTTTCTGTGAATACATGCATACACACACAGATGTGTGCTTTTTTCAAAATGAGCATGGACTATTTAAAAACAATAGGCTTGCATACATAATAATTTGGTTTTAAATTCATACAGAAACTCTTATTCAGTCTTATTCTTAACCAAAAGACAAACTGAGGCCTAATTACTATTTGAAAGCCCACAATTGCTTTCCAAAAAGCAAAAAAGGCCAAAGTATGAACTCACAGATCTTAAAATCACCCAATCTTAACTGTTTTCTTGCACTTCCTTTTTAAGTTTTTAATAGAACCCAGGAAATATTTCTCCTTTGATTCAACTCACTGTTCCTATCACCGACCCCCACTTTCAGAGAGAGGCAGAAGTATCTTTCATCCTTTCCCTCTTCTTGGCAGCCTTCTCTTCGAGTGACTTCAGCAATCTAAAGAAATGTTGGCCCTGCCCTCTGGCATTAGAATGTCATAAAGATCTCTAAGTCTACCCATGCATGGGAGCACTATCTCCATGATGCGTGCACGCCCACTCTCTGAGCATGTATTTCTGTCCCTTTCCTGCACTCCCTGGACTTTTTGAAAAACTGCTAAAGGATGGTGAATTTGTACCTGACACTAACTGTAGGAAGTTTGGAATTTCTTTGGAAATGATTATTTAATTTATTAATTGATTATTTTTTAGAGATAGGGTCTCATTCTGCTGCCCAGGTTGGAGTACAGTTAGGTTGTCATAGCTCACTACAGCCTCAAAATCCTGGGCTCAAGCAATCCTCCCACCTCAGTCTCCCATGTAGCTGGGACTACAGGTATGTACCACCATGTTTGGCTATTTTTTGTAGAAAAGGGTCTCATTTTATTGCCCAGGCTGGTCTTGAACTCCTGGCTGCAAGTGATCCTTCCATCTTGGCCTCCCAAAGTACTGAGATTACAAAGGTGAACCACTGCACCTAGGCTGTTTATTCAAAAAGTTCATATAAACATGGCATTCCACTCTCATATGTCATTCTTTTCACAGAAGGATAATTGTCAAGTCATATTACCATTCACCTTCCCTAGGTTAAAACAGCACTCTAGGAAGAGGTCCACATTTGCCATTGGCTTTTTATGCTTTAATGTCCTCACCACCAGCCTGTGTACTTGAGATTGAGAAGTCACGTAAGTAATTCATTCAGTGAAGTCCATTACCTGGTGCTCCTAAATAAACAGGATAGGAAAATTGTACTTTTCTTAAGGGGTCCTTCATGCTCACCTTTTTGTTATCTTCATGATAGGATCACATTTGAGATGAGCATTCTTGCCTTGATTATGTCTTCTGATCATCTTAGTGATTGTAAAATCCTGACATATTTTTGTATTTGAATATAGAATATAACATGTAGACAAAGAATACTTAGGCATCTGAAAGTTTTTGAAGATTTGGGAAGTAGATGTATATCCTGGATTTTGTTTATAAAATGAATAAATGTAAGCTCTTGATGTATATACTTAAAAACATTTAGAAAATAGATATATAAAGAAAAAACAATGGTAATCCATCACTCGACAAAAATCACTATTAACATATTTTTAGGCATTTCCTTTCAGAATATTTTCTATTTAAATACATGAGTGTGAATGTCTGTGGGTGTCTATAGATGTGTCTGTGGAGATTACAAAATTGGAATCATGTTTTATATTGAGTTTTGTATCCTTTTTTTATTTGATATTCTGTGCACATTCTTTGATGTCATGAAATACTCTTCAGTTGTGCTAAAAATACTCTCGATTGTGTGTTCTGTTATTTATACATTAAATAATTCCTACCTTACAGCTGAATATTGGGAAGGATCAGGGAACTGTAGGTTGTTGCCCTTGTTACCAGGAGTTTCAAGTTGTTTTCCTCAGTCTTTATGGGCTCTGTGTAGAAGAGAATGGCCTCATAGGCAATGAATGCTGTGATTTTACAAATGTTGTGTAAGTTTAAAATCTCAGAATTTTTTTTATCATAAGTTATTCATTCACCAGATATTCAGTCAATTTCTACCGTGTCAAGAAATGTGTGAGCAGTAGGGCTGGAGTAAGATATAGTCCTATCCTTAATGCTTGTGCAATTGCTGTTGCATGACCCAGTCTCTGTTGAAAGTAACAATGTCACTTCTTAAGACATAAATGAATGAATGAATGATGAATGAATGAATGAATGAATTTAGACCAAGTATCTCTCTGTCGCCCAGGCTGGAGTGCAGTATCATGATTTCGGCTCATTGCAACCTCCGCCTCCCCAGTTCAGGCAATTCTCCTGCCCCAACCTCCCAAGTAGCTGGGACTACAAGCACATGCCCTTGGCTAATGTTTTGTATTTTAGTAGAGACAGAGTTTCACCGTGTTGCCCAGGCTGGTCTCGAAGTCCTCAGGCAATCCATCTCCCTCAGCCTCCTGAAGTGCTGGGATTACAGGCATGAGCCACCACGCCCAGCCGTAAATGAATTATTTTAAAAGGAAAAGCATTCATTGTTCTGATAAGTTTATAAAATGCTGCAAGTATATCTCACTCTCTGAAATAGAGGTTTGAGAAGTCCTACAGCTAAAAAAGAAAACTGAACAAAACCCAACTCTATTCAGCTTTATTAAATCAACCACTTCCAGAACTTTTCTAATCATAGAAACCTTTATCCTAACACATTAAGATGCCCCTGAATTCTCCGTAGGAATACAGTAAATTATTTAGCACCACAATGTTTTGTGATGGCTTAGTTCTTGGTTGAAGGTTGAATTGTTACTGGAAATAACCTATGTGATGTTACAAATTATCAAAGGACTTTTTTTCTAATCTTGAGTTACTCTCAAATAATAGCATGAGGATATCGATACCAAAGTGCTATCCGGAGATTTCAGCACTGCTAGGTAATTGCGAAGAGGATTGCATTGGTATTTAACCATGTATGTACTTCTGCTTGCAGATCATTCAATTAGTCTTTGCCTTGAACTTGTGAAAAATCTTTATTTCCAAGTCTTATTTGATATCTGTCATAGGCATGACTTGAAATGCTAAATTAGAGCCACTCCATCTGATAAGATCTAAGTCTCCTTCTCTAAAACTTTTTCTACTAAATTTCCCTGAAATAAATTCAGTGCCTACAAGGGCTTTTACTGATAATGACTTCTTATCAAATATTAATATTGTTATTAATCTGCTTTTGGCTCCTTTTTGAAACTCTTCGCTCCAGGGCCCTTATTTGCAGTATAGGAAATCTCCAGTATCCAGTGGTAGCTCCATTGAGCAGAAGCACATTTTCATCTTAGCTTATTTATTTAATGCATGTATGTTTTCCAGTACAGTTTACTATTTAAGCATAGTATTTTGTTGTCAGGCCATGGATTAAAGGTATTTTGATATATATAAACTATGAAAACATTAGTAATTTCTTATAATAATGATCGGACTTTTCAAATGTTATTTGTGGAAGGCGATTTGGTGATATTTTTCAATAGCCACAATGTATACAGTGCTTGATCAAACAATTTTACTACCATGAATTCATCGAGTGGATATCCTCATATAAAAGAAGCCCTCATAATAATGTATAAGGACCATCATTGCAGCTTTGTCCTTCTAAAAGGCATTCAACACATGACTGTTGGTACATCCATGCAACTGAATACCAGGCAGCCATTATTAAGTATAAATATATCTGCATGGGAAGATCTTCAGCCTAGACCAGTAGACTGTATACCAGTAAGTGGAAAAATGATGCCAAGTGGTTTATACAGAATATCTTCTTAAAAGTAATAACAGCAACAAAACGGTAATACACACATATACATACTGTATGTATACATGTGTTTTTGTTTGTTTTCGGGAACTATACACAAGATCTATTGACTTTGTGTCCTTTGAGGATAGGGACCAATTGGCTTGTAATTTGCTTTTTATATTTTTCCGTATTGTTTAGAATTTCAAACTAATTGTATTTATTACTATTTTTTGATGGTGTGAGTTATCTGTATGATATGATTTGGATTCTTTTTTGTAAATGTCAAATGAGATAACACATGTCAAAAGCCTAGAGCAGTGCTAATATTGATATTATTTCAATATGTTTTTTAAAAGTCAGTGCTGTGAAGAAATAATAAGGGCACCAGGGGAGATGAAAGACATGTTCTAAAAGTCAGAGGAGTGCAAGTCAGGGAGAAATATGAGACAAAGTGTTTGTTTGGGGGATGTGGGAAAGGATGGCTGCTTTTAATTTTGTTAACTTTACTTTCTTCAAGTTTTGTTCTCTCTGTAAACTTTATTATTTTGTACTTGATTTTTTAACGATTTGGCTTCTTTATTAGATTACCCCTCTACTCTGTGCTATTCCATTTCCTCCCACTCCCAACCACTGGTCTGTGTGGTTCTTTGTTGCTCTCTTTTCTGGCAGGGTTGCAGTGAAAGCGGGGCTTTGGGTATTGTTACCAAAGGCAACATCAGCGTCTGTTCTTTGCTTATCACTGGCCAGCCACGGGGGTGATGTCCTCCAACAGCCTAATATCTAAACTGCCTCACATGTGTATTTCTTCTTCTTCTTAAGTCAACTAATTCTGACATTCTCTATCCTTGTACTAGGAGACGGTAAATTGCTAGGGTTTTTTGTTTCAAAAAATAGTAAAAATTGCTTAGCCATGATACCGCATTGATATTAACAGAAAATGTGAAGCGTTGCATGCAGAAAGTATTGACTTGCAAGAAATCACTGTGGTTTATTTATTGTCACGGTTATCTAACTTAATTTACCAAGCACAGCTCCCCTAATGCACAATTGTGTAATTGAACAGCTGAGGCCCACACAGTTACTCAAAATGACAAATTTCTATCCAGCTAAATGACAACAAAGAGCTGTAAAATGCACATTTCCCCTGTGAATATTGTAAGTTCCTTAATGCTCAAATGCTTAATATCCCACCATTTCTGTGATTTTTCTGATTGGACTAGCTGATAAACCAAGGAAAGCCAAAGAACTTTGCAGACTGACATGGAGGATTATTGTAGATATTTCCCCATCTGTAAGAGGAAAATAGTATTCAGCTGTGCTTCTGGTCCCTGTTGGCTTTCCTCTCACTAATTCTGAAGTTGGGGAATGAAATTTCACACAGATAAATAGATTATCATAGAAGTTATCTTTGATCATTCAATTAACTTGGTTTCCATGAGACCACAGCCTCATATATGAGGCACAGTCGATTTGGTGAGAGAATAGGTTGCATTGGCACAGATTCATTTTCCAGTCAGATAAATGAAAGGGTGTGACTCATTGATAATGTGTTGCTAGCCAGTTTTTAATATTGGTAAAAGTTTGCAATTGGAAAATAAATAGTATGTTGAACACACATTCAATGTGAGATAAACATGGTATATAGGACCACTATACACACACACACATCACTTTTTAGTATATATATAATATATAGTAAAAAGCAGTATATGTGTGTGTGTATGTGTGTATACACATATATATACACTCACACTAAAAGTGGTGTGTGTGTGTGTGTACATATATATATATGTCATATATACCAGTTGTGTGTGTGTGTGTGTGTGTGAATATATAAACTACGCACATACATGCACACACCACTTTGTATATGACCACAAAGAAATATTAGAAAAAATATCAACAAAGACAAGGCTGTCTTAGTATTTCGTTTTAGCCTTATCTTTTATTAATGTATGCTGTGCAATAACAAATCACAACCAGTCTATTGAGTGACGTAATATGGCAAAGTTCTTTTGTTGTGCCATCTCATTTATTTTCATCTTAATGTTGGCTTTATTTTGAAGCCAAATCTGCTAGTTCATCCATCTAGTAAATGACAGAGCTGCGATTGGAAACCAGGCTAGAATATCCTTGTGTATGAATCCATAATCACAGTAAACAAGACACTGGTTAGGGGAACACTTTGGATGGAATAGAGGGAGAGTCCAGTATGTATGTCATTTTGCTATTTTAATTGAAAATTGTAGATTTGTAGAATATCAGATACCCATACTTAAATATGAGTGCAGCCAAATTATTGCTGTTCCTTTTCTTCTAGAAACTTGATATCCAAAACTAATTCACAGATGAGAATCTCCACATCTTTACTTAATTCATAGTTTCTTCACACATTTATAGACAATATACACTTCAAGCATATATGTTGCTAAATTACACATTTTTGTAAAAGTTTTTATATATTTTTCCATTTTATCTTGAAATATTAAGTTTGTCCTAGTAATTTCACGTTGTGTTTATGTAAGTTCAATTACTTTATCTTTTAATGATTTGCAGCTCCTTATTTATTAGGTTTCTCCAACTTATGTATTCATAAACAGTCTATAAAATTTCCAAGAAATAAGTTTGTTTGCTTAAACTAATTTCCTTAATTACCTGTGCTTCTGTGAGAAAACAGTTCAAGTACATACTTCACACTATTTACCGGGCAACATGTCTTAGTTGAAAATAATAATATCAAATAGTTGAATAATTTTCGCTCTTTAATTATAAAAAATTGAATGTATTTTAAATATTACTTGTAAATACTTAGGTGAAAAATGTTCTCATAAAAGATTAGTAGTGACCGCCTGTGGCTAAATGAGCCTTTATTAATAATTTTGATATTTAAATATTATAAGCATCGACCGGTTTGGCAATTATTTTAAAAACTTTGTGTAAAGAATGGAGACCTACTTCTCTAAAAATCTGATACCGCCCACATCCTGCTAAAGATGTATTCAGGATTAGGATATAAGCGTTGGTGGAATAATTTTATTATCAAAATGAAAGGAAACTTTTAGAGTGGCAATATGGGGAGTGGAAGAGTAACTATATGTTAATGAATTTGAGTTGAAGCCTAAGCAGTGGCTATGTGATAATATTTGAGTTTGTTCTTTTCTCCTATGAAAGTTTGTTCATTTTCTGTTTCGTAAGGGTAGTAAGCTGATAATGTATTAAATTGCCAAGTAATTGCATTTTGAGTCAGCCATAAATTTTTAATCTTGGATAAATTGCATACATTTCCTGAGCTTCATTCTCCATATCCTTTTCTTTTTAATAGCTTTATTGAG